TATATAAAATCTGTTATTCCATTAAAATATAATATACATACATATATCATGATTTTTCAGGGTTACACGACGCGACGAACGTCGCGAAATGTCGCGATACCTATCATCGTTACGCGGAATCGACGCGTATAACCGCGGAGCTTTTTTTCCAACCATTCTTTTTCAGAACAACGTCGAGCTGTCGCTCGGAGAAACGCATAAAAGACGTTGCGACGACGCGTCGTGCAAAGCCGGTTTTTTCCCTCCCGGAAAAACGTCGCAGACTGTCCGTCACGTACGAGATTTGCATAAGAGCATTATCGATTATTCAAGCTGGTTTTCTTCTCTCCTCTCAAGGGAGCGCGGACGAGGCGAATACTTGGAAGTCCGACTCCGTTCCTAATTTTTCGCTGTTCGTTGCGCGTAGATGTTAATGTAAATGCAACGTATTGGTACGTCCCTTCGCTTTGTCTCGGGAAACTGGAAAGACTTCGCAGAACCGCTCGTTGATCAAATGGGCGGAGTCGTTGTACTTATTAGGCCTGTTTTCCTATTGCTGAACAGCCTGCTAAATTAATTCAGAGTTTATCTCTTTTACTCCACATTGGAAGGATAAAGATAAACTCGGAACTATAGTGCAGTTAAGCCCATATCGACGTTTATTCTTATCCCCTCGACATTCGTCCGCGGGGATAAGAATCTGAAATCGCGCACTGCGGCGAGGTAGACCGGGGAGGCAGGGAGGGAGGGAGGGAGAGAGGGGAGGGCGAAATATTATTTTTATCGCCTCGTATTATCCTGCGCCCGGCGCGTACCGTCCATTGTGCCCGTCCGCGACGTTTATCATCTCGCGTTCCACGGCGATTTCGCGGAAGGGCGCGAGTCAGTCGGGACGCGCCCGGGAACGCGCGAGCGTACGGCGCGAGAGCGCGCGCCGCGGTATTCCTCCTCCCTTTGTTTCGCGTTCTTTCTTTCTTATTTCCTGCCGGTTCGCAAGCCGCAAGAACGCGAGAGCGGCGTCTCTCCGACTCTCTCTCTTCTCTCTCTCTCTTTCTCTCCCTTCCATTCTCTCGCTTCCATCTGTCCGTCGGCGTTTGCAAGCGCTAAACAGCTGATAGCCGTCCCTTTAATCGCGTCGCCGAGTCGTCGAGTCGCGCGAGGTGAGTCGCTGGCGACCCGCCGGGAGGACCCTCGTCGTCGTACGTGCCGCACGATCGGCCCGGGTGAGTATTTTCGTCGTGCGCCCGGTTAGCGTCGGCTCGCCGGCGACGACGCGAGCCATCTTTTGTAGGTTAGGAAGGGTTTCCCGGCCGCCCGCGGAGCGTACGGACGGGCGCGCGTAGACGCGCAACGGTCGCCATGTTCGAGACGCGAGGCCGACTTTCGCGTCGGGCCGCGGGCGTCCAGCCGGGTCTGACGCTCGCGAGCGCTCTCGCGCTCGACGTCGAAGGGCACGCACGCCCTCGTCGCCGAGCCCGGGAGCGAAGATCTCTCGTCGGTGCGAGATTCGGGGCGAAACGCGCGTCAGGATCGTCCCTCCTCGTCTCTCTTTGTCTCTCCTTCTTTCTCACTTTCTTCGCGATGGAACTTGGAATCTCGAGTCGCCGGGAGGTGTATTTTTTTTATCGTTCGCTTCTTACCGGGATCGGAGCGATTCGCGCGTTTACTCCGACGAACGTTATCTTCCTCGGCTCGGAAATGGGAGTGACTCGGACGGCGCCTCTCCTCGCGTTCGCGATATTTCCGAAGACACTTGGAATGCTGGGTATCCGAATCGCGCGCGCGACGCGCCGCCATGATAGCACACGGTACGTTCGATTCGAACGCGGGGAACGGCGGGCCGCGGGACGATGGACCGATGGACGTGACATCATCAATGGCCGCCGCCGTGTTGTCTGTGTACGCAACGGAGCGCGACAGCCTCGTACGCAGGGGACGCCGATAGCCTGGTTTCTCGCACGGGAGCTGTGGCCGAGCGCGCGCGAGACATGGGCTCGAAGAAGCACAAAAAGCACAAGCGCGAGAGGCACGAAGGTGAGGAACGGCACGAGCGAAGGACGTGCGCGCGCGACTTTTCTCTTCCTTGGTCGAGACTCCCGGTCGTACCTTTGCGTCCTCGTCGACGGAGTTCGCGACAAAGTGTCTTTCTCCTCTCCGTTTCGAGCTCGTCGCTTCGAGATCGCCTCCTTTTCTGGCCGCCCGTCCGACCCGTCGATCGTCGTCCAACAAAATTGTCCGCCGTCTCGACGGGATAAACAAACTTATGTCAAAACTTGTGTCAAAACGGTTGACCCTCGTCGACGAGGAAGCCCGTTTCGTAGAATAGTCTCTCCTCCGAGCGAGAATTAGACGTAATGAATTAGAATGTTATGTTACTTGTAAGAGAATGTTATGTTACTGCGGCATCATTACATCGCACCAAGCCAAACTGTGTACTTGTATGTCAATCATGAAAAGGAATTCGAATGAGAAAAAGATGAGGATGCCTCGGGCCGATGGACCCATCGGCCCTTCGCTCCTCGGTTCGCAAAATCGGTTCGCGCTCTTTGCAACTTTCATTTGGGATCTTTCTCATACTCATAGTTTAATGATGCACAGGAATTTTGACTTCGTTTTCACCACGGACAAACTGAGAGTGAGGTTGGAGTAGAAGTGAGGTGGATTCGAAAGTATAAACCGAGCGTTCCACAGCAACAGGCGCGACGTGGAAGTAAGTGACGAGTAACAACGGACATGGACTGGTTGCACGACAGAAGCTAGCTATGCTTCGAGAATTATCAAACGCCCCCCCCTCAACCCCTTTCGTTTTTTTTGTCTGTTGAATATCCATTGAAGTGCAACAAGATTTTTGCGCCGAGAGTTGCCCTCCTTGTCTCAACGGAGCAGTATGCGTAGGTTGCAAGGTATATACAAACATTCAGATATATCGCATACAGAGAAGCCTGTTGCACTTCAATCACGTGTAATTTCCTTTGGCTGTTATGTATCGTGGCATTGAGAGCCACATATGCTTCGCTTGACCTCTTAGCGAGGTATTTTCAATTTTAATGACTGCTCTCCCTGATTATTCCCGCCGATTATTCGATTTGATATAACGATGGAGATTATTTTCATATATATTAAGATTTGTTTGATTTAAGTCGAGCTACTTCCATCTCGCTTCCAGTTTGTTGAATGTGAAAACAAGGTCGCACTGTCCTGTTAATAAAATCATGTACATTTTCATATACAATTCCTACCCGTCCATATCCTTAACGGTCCGTAATTTTTATATTTGCTCACGATTTGCATCTCTTTCGGTATTTTCATTGTCATGCTACATTTCTGATGTCATATTTTTTCTGTTACCATGTTGTACTCTTATCCTGCATAATCTTTCCGCAAGATTTCCCGATTGCTGCATGTGGCTCATTTACAATGGATCATACGTATGGCTTTTAGAGCAACAATTTTAGTACACCGCTTAAAAAGAAATCGTTATAAATACTCAGGATGATGACTAACTGACTATGTTTCTTTCTTTTTTTTCTTTGACAGAGGGTCAGTACACAACGACGGACAAGCCGCCTAGTCTGAAGTTAATTTTGAAGGTAGGAGGTAGTACTGGAACACCCGAGCACGGCGGCGAGTCGCCAAGTCAGGCCGCAATGCTGTCGCAACATTACCAACAACAACTGGGTCTTAACTATTCTGTCAGCCAAGGAGACGCAGAGTACGACAGATATGTTGGTCACAAAAAACTCAAGAAGAAGAAGAAAAAGAAAGATAAACGGCACAAACATCATCATAAAGATAAGAAAAGACGAAGAGAGGAGTCGAGTCAAGAGTCAGTTGGCGATGCCGATGAGAACCTGGTCGAGCCTGCACCTAAGAAAGCTTGTACCAATCACAATCAGTTGCTGCCACCCAGACCGCCGTCCAGTGGTGAATTAAGGGTTGGCGTTACTAATGTAAGTTCTCTATCACCTCATCGCGAGCCCAGAACATGCGTTCTTAGAAAGATAGCGGAGCGCACGCCTCTCCAAAGGTTGCTGGAACACCTGTTGAGATCCATGGAGAAGCGGGATCCGCAGCAATTTTTCGCCTGGCCGGTCACAGACAGCATTGCGCCTGGTTACTCTCAGATAATCACGAATCCGATGGACTTCAGCACGATAAAGCAAAAGATAGACGACAATAACTATCAGAATTTGCAAGAATTCGTGGATGATTTCAAGCTTATGTGTGACAACGCCATGACATATAATCATCCCGACACCATTTACTACAAGGCGGCGAAGAAACTTCTGCACGTCGGTTTGAAAATGGTCACTCCGGAGAAATTGCGGCAACTCAGGCCAGTCCTGATGTACATGAACGATATTACGAAGGAGGAACTCGGATTCGAGCTGGGCAACGAAGATCTTAATAATCCAGACGCTCCTGCAACGGAAGAGCAGATAGAGCGAGAACGCGAGCAAGAAGAACGTAATGAGGAGGCGGAAGAACTTAGAAAAGAGAATCAAAGAAAGATGAGACTGGCTAGCTTAGGTAAATTTGAGGCCATACCGGACGATTTGACACCAGAGGAGATCCTGAAACAGGCTAGAGGTGCGGCTAAAGCGGCGGCGGAAAAACTCAGTCTGAAGAGGGTCAACTCGAAGATGGGTTTTTTGCGACAGAAGAAAGACGGCACCACCAGCCTGCAGATCATCGTGCCCGGGGACGGGATTATTCCCGGGACGAATCAGAGACCTGTGTCGCTGGGACAACTGATAGGCAAATTGAATCATGGTACTGGAGCGTTGGCTGGATTTCGGGAGGATCGCAGGAACATGTCGAAGCCAGTGAAACCCCTCTATTATGGCGCGTTCGGTTCATACGCACCGAGCTACGACTCGACGTTCGCGAATCTTACCAAGGAGGAAACCGACCTAGTCTATCAAACTTATGGTGACGAGACTGCCGTGCAATATGCTGAATCTATTCTAGACTTCGCCAAGGACTGTGATTACACATTGACTATGGTCGATGATTTGTTGGACATTCTCACAAGCGGCGATCATAGGAAGACAAAGAAATTCCTCGAGGAAAAGCGAAGACTGAAGGAGGAGGAGGAAAAGATCAAGCATTTATTGGAGAAACCTTTGCAGGACGTGAATCGTAACATTCCGTTGCTGGATAATGTCAAGGTTGATATCGAACAACTAAAGACACTATCGGATCTCGGTATCGACATAAACTTCCTAGAGAATTTAGGTAATTATGGAAGTAACGATGAAAATGAACGATTTAGCATTGTTCTAAGTAACTGAAAACAATATATGTAGCTAATTTATCTTTTAAATTTCGTCATTTGAATATACTTGTGTATTGCATCTTATTTTTATCTCAAAATGTATCAAAAGAGTAGTTTATCTCATAACATTGTCAATTATATAATTTAATAATTTTGAGGACGCTTTACCGCCTCTCTTCCGTGTTATTTAATTACATTTAATACATTTTTTATTTTCAGAAGAAGAATTTAAATATAGCGAGGAACGCGCCGTTCTACAAAGCCGCCTTGACGACACATCGCAGATGCTGGGTCGGCTGAAGCAGGTCCAACACGAGCGTTTGTCAGCACCGCCGCCGGCCCATCTATCCAATGTTCCCAAGGCAGCGGACGCAGAGGTGATGCTGGCCGAGAAGATCACCGACAACCTCACCGATATAGCGAAGAAATTGCCACCGTCGGGGATCGCGCCGGTCGACGGATTGCGTCGAGCAATGGGCATAACACCTTTGGGCGCACCGGAGCCCATGGAGGTTGAGCCGATCGCGCACAACCCCACTATAGTCGCTGACACTTCGTTACTGCCGAATCCGAACAATGGCAACAATCAGGTGCTGTCGAATCTGTTGCCGAGCCCCTCGCCAATTCAGAACGCGAATCTACTGAGTCCGACCGGTCAGCCAAATCAGAATATCAGTATTGTGGGTGCGACTCAGCCATCGCCGCCTATTCAAATGCAGATCGGCATGACGCACAGCAGTCAGACGCCACCGTCTTTACTGAGCGCGACAGAACCATCCGGCGTGGCTGATCTCGAGTCTGAACTGCGCGAATTCCTAGAGAGCGATCCTACGCTGGGGCACTCGCCTCTCCATGACGACAAAACTCTGGAGGACATTCTATCTGAATCTTAGTGTGCGGTAATCCGAATGTCCCGTGACACATAATTTATAAATATAGACATATAAATTATAAATATATACAGAATTCTGTACATTTTATTATTGATACGCTACTTTCGCATATACAATTAATAAATTGGATCATATCCTGTATCTTTAATCACTTTGCTTTATTTCAGTCCTGTTTCACTTTCTCCTGAAGAATCCGGAAGAAACGAAAAAAGAGGCAAATATTAAAGAGAGATTAAGTAAAATGTTTAATGAATATTAGCGGTAATCGATAATCACATGGTTCTTGATATGATGAGTAAAAAGATTCATGGAAGTATAGAATATAGATAATTTTTGGTAATATTTTTTATATGGTTCTGTAAAATATGAAATAATATAAATTTTATTTTTTTCAGACATTTATTTATTATTCCATACGCAGTAGCTCATTTGTTATACGATGCTCGTAACGTTAGAATGTAATTTGCATATATCGATACTCGATACGGCGTGCCGCATTATCAGAACACAATGCTGGTCCCGTATGCACTATGCAGTGTATACCGAAAGGCACATAAAGGAAATTCACAATGATGCTATCGATTACTGATAAGTGTAGCCGCTATAGCTGTATTCTGTGTTCCAAAGCGTAATGGGAAGACGGACGGCAACGGCGATGATGAGTTTTGCTCCTGGTCGAAAATGAAATCAATCACGGCGTGCTCGATGAAGTGGATAATACTACGTTATCGCGCAATGTACACTCATATTCCGCGAACGTTTCCAAGTTTCAAGAAGATTAATGCGCGAGTCAATTCGCGAGGCTCGAGGTTTCAAACTTGGAATTTACGGCCGGAAGTATAGAAACTCCGAGCGCTTCCATGAGGATCGAAAGGATTATCATTTAAGATACAATCGCTGTAAGACTAACGAATTTTCGCTCACGGATTCCATTACTCTTACAGAAAAATATTTAAGCAAAGAAGCACGTGGTTTTACATTTAAATTTTGGACACACGATAAAGTTTAATTTTCAAGCATAAATAGCACGTGATCGTATAATTTTTTCGTTTTAATTTAGTTAAGAATAAAAAGGATTTTATATAAACTTAATTTTTTTTTTAGAATAAAATCCGCAAAAGCGTAAAAGATAAAGCAACGAAACTAATCGTTTCCACGATAGCAATTAATCCGTTTATGTCAGATATTATTAGTTTCTGTTATAATTGGCTATATATCACGTGCGTGCGAGAAATGCGTAATTTCTATATACTCGTAATCGAGTTCTATATCGTTCGGAGATCTGCCCGACAGCGGGATTACGCAAATACGAGAGTTTATTTTCGGAAATCAGGTAGCCCTTTGCGCCACGTGTGCTCTTTGAACTGATTGTGAGTTTAATGACAAAAATAGCTCGCCGTGAAAGAGGCGTTGTCACACCGATATCGAGTACACCGCTGTCAAAGATAAAATTGTAATGAATATATTAATTTACCGTGAAGCATTTGATAGCACATCCTCTGTATAAAGCACAGTGTCGAGCAAATTTATAATTATCCTTCTCGTATTATTTGAAACTTTTTCTCGACGATTCAAAAATAATATTACTCGATTTATTAAAATTACGATCTTATCTTTCTCCCCTCCCCCCTATAAAAGAAAGAACGATCAATTAATAATTAATCGATACATATATGTATGTACGTTTTGTGATCCATACTAGCCTTGCCTATTTTACTCACACATGTATACATATATAGATAACACTAATGAAACCGCAAAACGAAGCGCAAAATATTCGAACAATAGCCTATTTCCAAAAGTCAATTTTATAATACCGAAACGCGAAATATTCGGCTTTTAAATTTGTATACATACGTTAGATATTATATTTGTTGATTGACGTATTTGTTTCATACGATGTCGGCACGCGCTATCGTAAAGTGAATTTTATAATATCAAAACGCGAAATATTCCGTTTGTTTAGTATACGGTAGCGGACTATATGACTAATCGACGCTGGCACGCGCTATTGTAAACACGTCGCATCGCGCGCGCGAGCTTGTTTTTCGAAAGTCGGCGGGGTGGGGGCGGGCGGGCAACGGCGCGCGCGCCGCTCCCCCTCGCATTATCCTTCGGGCCGCGGTCGCGGCGAGACGCGGGCACGACTCTCTGCGCACAATTAAAGAATATCGCCTGCGCCTGGCACGATTGATTCACTTTACCATAAGCGACTCGTAAGTCTTTCGAGACGACGGCTGTTCGTCGTGATAGATATATCTCACGCTTCTTATTCGTGCTGAATGGAAATCGGATCTACGAGGCACGGAAATTGTTAGGTATCGCTTTTACTACGCGTTTGCAGGCAGCGATCTGTCCGATCATTTCTTGAGATACGCTTTTTCCGATATCAATGTACTTTGACGACTGCTTCTGCGGAATAATGTACGAGATCCCGGATCGAATAAGCTGGAAAACTAGCCGTGGATACATCGACAGTTCGTCTTTCGCGATTTAATGATTTTAATCATACAAATTCGGGCGATTCGTCGGCCATTAAATCGACTCACGTCGTCACATCGCGTCGTGTCGCGCAGTATCGCAATGAAGTTGCCGCCACAATCGAACTTTTCAGTTATTAGCGTAACGTCGCGCGTTAACATGGAACGGATCGTCGATCGACTCCGAGCCGCGTTAAACACTTTGAGTGCCATATGTCATCCATATCTAAATTGTAAGTGACGCGCGCGTAATCATTTCCGCAAAGACCATCATCCATTTGTGTGAGTAATGTACGTGAGTAACGGTCTCATTTACCCGATTAAGAAAAACTGTACGATAAATATTCAAGACATTTAAGAAATAAAATGTGAATTTTATTAAGACATTAAGAAAAGCAGTAAAATATTAAAACAATATATTAGATTTATTAATTCAATGTGTGCCGAAAGCAGCTTGGCAGTCAAAGTATGCGGACAGTATAAAGTACAATCAGCGTCGTATCTCGATAATTAACGATCCGGTGGCATGAGTTTAGTGAGTTATGTATTTGTTGGAACGTGTAATTTCGTAAGATTTATGCGCGAAATCCACTGTGTCGCGAACGCGACGGGCGACGTATTCTCGAGTTGCGCATTCCGCTGGTTTTATCCTCGATTTCAGCTAGAATACTCATTCGTTCGAGTTATGTGTGACAGTAATCCTCCTGAAAGTATGGGACATAAGTCATTTCGAGCGTTAAAAGTACGAGAAGGTATATTATATAGTGCAGCGAGTGCGTAGCGTCGCCGCCGCCGCCACGTCTCGCCGCGTCGCTATGAAGTTGGCCGCGCCGATTTACGAAATTCCTCCGCCATTTCAGGTTCTGTCGTTGCATTAATTGACGCGACGTCGCGGATCGCCCCTCGCCGCGCCGCGCCGCGATCATACGTTTCTCGCTCGTTTCGCCGGTCGTGATTGTCGTGATGGCGTGATGGAACAATGCGCGCGTCGCGTACGCGGTGTACGGTCAACATCGGGAGTGCCGATAACAAGAAACAAGTACCGCGCGTTCGTCATTTGATGATTAGCGCGCGATCGTAATTACGTGTGCGCGAAGTCGACTGATGTGGTGTGATAATGACTAACGAGTGTGTACCTTAACCCTTAACGGAGCAACGACGCGGGAAGTCCGCGCGAAAGGAGGAGGCGGCCCAGGGACGGCATCAGGCGCCGGCGGAGCAACCATGAGTGAGTAATTCATTATTTATTATTTATCATCTGTGGAATTTGTTTATCCCCGTGACAATCTCATTCTATACAGTATTCTATATAGTATTTTGCATTATCGTGTAACACAATTCATATAAAGCATTTTGATTTAAATTATTTTGATTTAAGAAATATTTAATATACATATGTAAAATGTTTAATATTTCTAGTATTTTTATGAAGAAATATGTAAAATATTTCAACATTTTTATCATTTATAATTATTTTAAATTTATTTTACTTATATAAGAATTAAATTTTTTAAATTGAATTTTAAAGAAGTATGTACTTATTGTTGGAAAAAATTCAATGTGCGCTATAAGTATTTATTTTTTACAAATTGAATTATTTTGAGCACAAGTTTGATTTGGATGTATTTGTATTTTACAGATTGACATCGTAGACTACAACTCCGCTGCTGCACATCGTACCGGTGAGTTTTAATTTTTATTTTAATAATGGATTTATGAGAATTTTATATGAGATGTGTGTGTGTGTGTGTGTGTGTGTGTGTGTGTGTGTGTGTGTTAAATTATGTTAATAAAAATTTGAATTTCCAATACTGTTTGATATATCTGAACGCATTATTTATTCCTATAGTTATAATCTATTTAAAAATTGATATATGTGTATACCCCTAATAACTAGGAATTTATGTATTAAGAATATTATAGATAAAATAATATTTCATAAATCCATTATGTACTTTGAAATGGATAGGCTAGAATGAATTTATACTATTGTTTAATGGCACTAGATTATTTTATAACTGTCAATCAGTTTTCACTTTTTGTACAAAAAATACACAGATACAAAGTATATACATTTATAAAGTAGAGTTTATTTATAATCGAAATGTTATTGATTGGCTTGATCATTTCCTAATTTATTTTATACATATAATTTATATTTAATAAAAAGACGAGAGTGTTACTTGCACTTATACTTACATTACACTAAATCTTTTACATAGCCTATCCATTTATGTTTGTTGAATGATTTAAATTTATGTTTTGAAACAAAATAACGTGAAACGTGAGATCCCCTGCCCTCCCAATAAATATTTTACCGCGAAACAAAATAGATTTTTTTATTTATTATATCAAAAATTTAATCAATTACACATGTGTTAGTTGCATTAAAATATTTAAAACTACAGTAATTTTTTAATTATTTTTAATGTATTATATTGAAAATAATTATGACAAGGAGTAATTATAATTATATATTGAATAATTGTTTAATTCTCTATTATCTAGTAACATAGTAATGAGATAATTATTTTAACATGAAAATTTATTTAAAACATATCGAGATATGAAAAATTTGTACTGACAGTAATTTTGATCGTACGTATAGTCCCTTATTCATTTAGGATCTCACGTATAATTGTGGCATTCTAAACTTTGGATGTTGCTAATTAGCCGAAAATTTTTTCGGCATATGGATCTGCTGACTTATCATTCGACAATTTTGTTACGTCATTGTTACCGGTCAGTTTTCTTTATGAATCGGTGTAAAATCTAAGTTAACTAATCGCAAAATATCGCAAACATGTTATTTATATATATAGCTTGAATCAGAAAGTCTGTAATTTATAAATGTGATCAAAAATATTCGAGTACTAAAATATAAAAGAAGTGCAGTATTGATTATGTCTAATTATTACATTCTGATAATATTTTATCGCGAAAAAGTATTATAACGTCCTGATTAATGTTATCGCGATTTTTGATAGATAATATTTATGTACGATAGATTTTACAAAAAATTTATTATCTTTTTTTTTAAATTTAATTTTGTAAGTAATTAATATCTAGTATTTAATGGCAAATTAGTATTAATATTATAACGGAGCATGATTTATTATAAAAACGATACAAATAATTTATATATCGTGTAATGTAAATAAAATAACAGAGACGTAACAAAAATGATCGATTCTCAAGCAAAATTAAAAACGTAAGTACATTTTTTATTTATGGTAAAATACTTGATATTGCTTTCTGAATGAGTGTTTAATTACAAGTGGTTTTATATTTAATTAATTAATGAGAGCAGCGAATTGTTTGAAGTGTATCTACACGTAAGCGTGCCGGGTTAATAACTCGCGAAGCGCACGACTTACACATTGTCATGTCGGATTTCAAAAGCGTCTGAAGTCTGCATGGACCATAGACACTGCGCGCTCGCTGACAAGTTAATTAAGCCACATTCCGCCGCTATTTCGAAAATGCGGTGGACGTGTAAATGACGTGTGCGAGCGTGGTTTTCACGTTG